GACGATCAGATCAGATCAGATCATGGAAGTTGACGATCAGATCAGATCAGATCATGGAAGTTGACGATCAGATCAGATCAGATCAGATCAGATCAGGTCAGTCAACTGGAGGAGTACTTCGATAAAACCGGAGACAACAGATCAGGTCAGCTCAGCTCAATGTAGATAGAGATAAGATCGAAAGCGTAAGAGACGATCGGATGTATACTGCCTGCGACGAAAGAACGTGAAGGTATGTAGATGAGACTATGTGAGGGGGAAGGAACAGTCGGAGACTGCTGGAGGGGTAGAGAGAACGAACAAGGAGGGGGAGGGAAGGAGGGGAGAGCGGTTGAGTCGCGAGACTGCAGTGTCCACAATGGTGAACATGCCGCCCATAAAGGCGCTGTCCAGTGCTCGGAGCAGCATTCGCTCTATTCGACCAGACATTGGCAAGCAGCCGAGCTATAAGCCAGGGGCGCGAAGGAACTCGAATTCATCTCAGTCGTCCGCTAGATTCCGTGGGACGCGTGTGAGCCGTCAGTCTCATCTGCGCAGAAAGGCGAAGCCAGAGCCCTTTGAGCAAGAAGCCATCCAGGTTTTCGACGACGCTGGCAAGGATGTCACCCCCAAGCCGATGTCCTCAACAGTGCACCCGACCGTCCTGCACGAGAAGCTCTTCTCTCCTCCTTCCCCTGGCGGCCAATCTTCCGAGGGCAGCGAGGCGTCTATGGAGAGGATTTCCGTGTTTGGCAGGAGCATGTACTCCATGGGAAGCAGCAGAGGATCTTTAACCCCAGATCAGACGGCGGAGGACGATTCCGCAAGCCAGGGAGAGGATATGGAGGGAGGAAGGAGGTCGAGCCTTTCCTCGTCGATGTGGAGTAGGAAACTAGCAGCATCCTCCGACATCGGATCAGTCCAAGGTATGGACACGATCGCCGTGGGAGGGGGCGCGGGCGCAGCCATGGCATCGTCCGCTGCGGTCGCGGCGCCAGCGGACACCACCGCTTGGGAGGAGCTGCCTATCTTCTCCATGTCCCACATCCCTTCTCCCCGATCTGAGCGAGATCTGCAAAGGAGCATCAGCCTCACCCTGAGGGAGACAGATACCTTCTTCCTGCTCGACATCGTCGGGATCTGCTACTCCACAGAGGACCAAGATACGGCGGAAGTGACCGCCAGGAACCAGCAATACCTGCAGAGGAAGGAGAACAGGAGCGCGGAGACGCTCACGGAAGAGGGAGTGCAAACAGTCGATCTCATCCGGAAAACCAAAGAGGTGCAGCTGCCAACGGTGACATATGCATCCATTGGGAGCCAGTCGACGCGGTGGGATATCACGGACAGCATCCACTTGATGCACGAGCAAGAGGAGGCAGAGGAACGAAGGGGCCTCGTAGAGCAAGCACGGGGCGGAGATGGAGGGCAGCAATCCAGCAGCAAGAGAGTGTCGGTGATGGGCCGAGGAGAAGGAGGCGGCGAAATCGGAGGGGTGCAACAAGGTCCAGGGAGAGGAGGAGGATTCGGCGGTGGAGGAGCGGAATCCGGCGGGACGGAGAATCAGCCCGGTACAGCCAAGGGTACAGAACCGCCTTCTCGGGTAATCTCAAGAAGGGGTAGTTTTAGCGTGGAGGGATCTTTCACCGGCTTGCCTCCTCCGTCGTCCGATGGCACCATGCCTGACGACCGTCTGTCTCTAATCAATGACGGGGGCATAGACAGCCTTCTGAACGCCGCAGAAGGCGCAGAGGGCGCCGCCGCCGCCACCGCCAGCACTGTCTCTGTGACCCAACTCCGCGGCTTGCCCGGCGCTCTCGAGATGCTCGAGCACGCCCTCATGCAGAACATCTACCACGAGAAGCTCTTAATATACCGCGATTTCCGACTGGGTACATTCGACGCGGAGGATGCCGCCGATCTTCACACTCCCCGCTCCTCCCCCCCTTACCCTTCCTTGGGCTCCGCGCACAGCAAACAACGACCCGATTCCGCCAATCCTCCGCAGTCTTCACCCGCCTCCCCGCAATCAGACCAGACGTCGCCGCGAGCCGCAGCAGCAGGCGGCGACGCCACTACTCGTTCCTCTCACTCAACTACAACGGCGGCGGCGGCGGCGACGGCGGCGGCTGAGAGGGGGGAGGGAACGAATCCCGCTGCAACTCGGCAGTCTTCCATGGTGGTGGCACCATCGACCACAAGCGGCTCTGTTGCTGGCCCATCAGCAGCTCCTGCCACCAAAACAGGGTCAGCAGGGGGGCGCGTCTCTTCTTTGTCCTCCTCCTCCTCCCCCTCCCTCACGTTGCTCTGGGATTTCCGCTGCGACGTCACGGAGGGAAGGAATGTTAGCTCCATCACTTGGAATAGAATGCATAAAGATATTCTGGCAGTCGGCTATGGCGAGTTCGACTATGCCGCCCAGAAGGATGGGCTGATCGCCTTCTGGTCGCTGAAAAACCCGCGGTACCCACACTGGGTCATCCCCTGTTCCAGCGGAGTAACGGCGGTAGATTTCTCCGCAGCCAACCCTAATCTACTCGCCGTGGGGTTTTACGACGGCAAAGTGGCAGTGTACGACGTCCGCAGCAGCAGACGGAAGGGCAGGCAGATCGCCGGCGCTATCGTCGAGACCGGGCATGTCAGCGGCAAACACAGCGACCCCGTCTGGAAGGTTAAATGGGTGGATCGAGGGGCGGAGAGGGGGGAGGTCTTGGTCTCCGCTTCCACCGATGGCAGAATCACCGAGTGGAGTATCAAGAAAGGCCTGGAGTTTACCGATCTGATGAAGTTAAAACGAGTGGTGAACAGAGCGAGATCACGGGCGGGGGTACACTCGAAGACGGAGGCGTTCATCTCGCGTCGAGCAAGTGGTATGAGCATCGACTTCTCTTCTAGAGACCCTAGCATCTACGTCACTGGTACAGAGGAGGGAGTGCTGCACAAGTGCTCTTGTTCCTACAGTGAGCAGTACCTCAAGACCTACTTTGGTCACACGGGACCTGTTTACCAAGCCCAGTGGTCGCCTTTCGACCCTAGTGTCTTCCTCACTTGCAGCGACGACTGGACCATTCGTATCTGGAAGGAGGAGGATTCAAATGCCTTGCTGGTTCTGCAGTCCGGCAACGACTCCGTAGAAGATGTCCACTGGTCGCCCAATGATTCCACCATCTTCGGAGCCGTCACAGCCGACGGCCGAGTCGAGATCTGGGATCTGGCGGTGTCCACGCTAAAACCCTTTCTCACAGCCACTCTGGAGAATGTGCGGCTGACCAGCATCCTTTTCTCCGAGTCGTCGCCCATCGTCGTCGTGGGGCGTTTTGATGGAGGAGTGAGCGTTTTCAGGCTGGCAGGACAGATCGGCCGGCCAGGACTGAGTCTGCAAATGCAGCAGAAGCAGCTCGAAGAAGCCATGACTGCCAATATCATCAAAATGTGACAGACAGGCAGGCGAGTTTTGTCACAAACAGCTTCACGAAAGGGACTTTTTTTTTTTTTTTTTTTCGAGATCACGAAAGGGACTTCGACTTTTACTT